CCCCAGGGTCTGTGATTTTTTTCCATAGAAAAAAATCGTCGATTAATCAAACTGTCGATTAATCACAAGTTAGTGGTGATGGTTATTCCCCCAAAGCGATGGATTGGGTTGGCATTAACGTTTGATGTTCGACAATTCCCCCCCAAAATACAAATAAACCACAAATTGTATTTAACTTTTTCTCTCTACAAATTTCATTAATTCACATCGTTTTTCTTCTTCTACTGCTTTTTTTTTTGTTGTTGTTCCTGTTACTGCCGCTATTCCAAATGGGCGAGCATCTGTTGGATTTGTATCTATTTGTGTCTCTGATGGTGAATGTGGAAATCTTTGTGTCGTGTCCGGGGGTATTAAAATCCAACCACTTGTTAATTCCATTCTTTGTTTCTCATTGTTGTCGTCGGTCAGAAGTAGTGGCTGTTGGCAAAGCCGGTGGCATCGGCCTGTAGCCCCGAGTTTATTTCTTTTATTTTTCGGTCATATTCAGGATCTAATGATTTTTGTTTTGTTAAGTCAGCCGGTCGTTAGATTGTTTATTCATATTGTAGATACTGACGGCACAGACGGATGTTAGTTAGTGTTACTCCGAGCATATCTATTGTGGAGTTTTTTTTAATTGCGTGAGTATGAGTACAGCAGGAGATGAGAATGGTGTTGGTATGCAGTATGGTATTTGAGTGGAGAAAGTGACGCTAACCGTTATGATTCTAATTTTTTCTGACGGTTTTCTAAATATTTCCTATAAAAAATTCAGACAGGATGGTCTGCGAAACTTTTCTTGTATAAAAATGTTTACATGGCGGTCTGCTAAATTTTTCATATAAAATACATTTGGTCTCGCGTTTGCAAAAATTCTTTTTTAGAACAAATGGTCACGACGATCTACAAACTTGTTTTCTCTATAAAAACATTGAAATCCGATCTGAAAATAGTTTCTCTAAAAAATCTGAGCTGACTGTGTGCAAAATTTCCTTCAGAGAAAAGCTTCAGAAGAAATTTCTTCTATAAAAAAAATTTTAACATATTCGTCTTCGAATTTTGAAAGAGTATCTAGGATATTTTATTTTTTTCTCTGTGACAAGTTCCTCGCACTAATGGGAATACATTCAGCTTTGCATACATAGACATAGACAATGAAATAAAATTTAATGAATCCTTTTGTTTCGCCGGGGCTCTAGTTGGGTTTTTTGAGGATTTCGAAAAAAAATCTGAACAAAATGTACTACAAAATTTGTTAGAATAGTATTTTGCCCCTTATGTGCGAATTGATGATAATTACGATGTTGGTCATAAGATTCCAAAAACGTGCATATACCAGAAATTTACATTCAGAGACTGTAGGTTAGGATGGCATTGTGCGTAGGTCGATTGTCTCGAATTGAAAACGTAACATTTTTCTTTAGGGCTATCATCCCCTTGAGGATGATGCCGGGGAAAATAAGGAAGCTTGTATCGGGAAAATTGAGGAATAATTTATTGTATTTTTTATTTAAAAACTAGTTATTATAAATACAAACTTTAAAAAATAATAGCAATAAAATCTATCGATTAAGACTATAGAATGATAATCGAGTTATTAATTTAACCATTCAAAATTTCCGAACACTAGAACCTTCATTTTATATTTTGATCAAATCCCCACGGTTTGATCCAATCTATTATAATTTAAAATCCAAATTCAGAGCACAATTATAGATCGCTAACCTCGAATATCAGAATAGGCATTGATATTCCGAAGATGATGTCTTCCTAATAATGCCTACTTACACTGCTAGAGATTATTGTTTAGGATGGAAAAATGTTGAATATTTAATAAAACAAATATGAGTGTAAACAAATAATTTTTTGTATTTTTCGACGTTCAAGCTTTCTCAGGTAAAAATTTCATTGGCTGGATGTGGAATATTAAAATAATACGATCAATAGTACTTGTAATACTATTACTAAGAAAAAATAAAACAAACAAAGAAAGGTCAAAAATCGGGCGGGCCACTTCGACTTCTACGGATAACAAATGACGTTTATATGGGGAATTCATGTGAAGTAGATCAGACCAACTATATACAATTTTGAATGCGTATTTAATATATGTGGGGTATATCCAACTCTGAGTCGATTTTCCCCAATGAAGATGTATATCGAAACTACATAAAAATCTGAACCGATTTCGATAACATTTGGCAGACTTATTTAGTAGCTTTTATTAAAGCACTTGCTTTTAGGCCGAAATCCGTCGGAAGAGTCAAAATTCGTTCCAATTGGGCTGATATAAGTCATTATTTGCTCAAAAAAAACCTTATTTCCCAATAAGGATACATATTGGAGCTATATCCAAATCTGAGCCGCTCTCGAAAAAATTTGGAAAGGGTATTTTCATGCTCTATAAGATATCTGGTACCTAATATATTTTTTGTGGAATTCATATTACGCATGTGAGGGACTTAAACCCCTAGATGAAACATATATATATATGGGAGCTATAGCTATATCTGAACCGACTTTCACCAAATTTGATGTACTAGCTCCTAGACTGAATTTTGACATATATTAGCCAATTGGTGCACAATTAACCCGAAATCGGCTGAAGATATATATGGAAGCTATATCCAAATCTGAGCAGATCTTGATAATATCTGGCAGAGTTATTTCCAAACTCTATAAAATATCTGGGACCAAATATCATTGTTGTCGAATGCGTACTACGAAGTTGAGGGACTTAAACACCAAATCGGATAAAACATATATATGGGAGCTATAGCTATATCTGAACCAATTTTATCCGAATTCGATGTACTTGCTTCTAGACTGAATTCGGCCGAATGTACCAAAATGCAGGACTTGGAATGTGGGGGAGCTATAGCTATATCTGAACCGATTTCCACCAAATTTAATGTACTATACTGAATTAGTTCGAATGTGCCAAAATGCAGTTCATTTGGACTGATATTGTCCATTTAGTGCACAATTATCCTGGTGGAATATATCTGTGGGAGCTATATAAAAATGTTAGCCGTTTCTCACCCATTCCGACTCAGAATGTGATTCAATGCAGATTATCAAAAGTAGCTATGGGTCTATCTCGCATCCTTCTCACTGTTACAAATAAATACACCACTATGTGGTGTAGGATATAACAACCATATTTTAAGAAACGCTTAATCATGGCACCAAACTACATCGTTTCTAAAACTTAAGCCAGGTTAATTTATTTAGGTTCAGGAAATGGAATATTGCTATTCGTTCTTTGTAGATCAAATATCAAGCTTGCTCGTAGTAATATCTATCAGAAACCCCTGAAAATTTAGTTACATAATGAAAAATATGTCCAAAATAAGAGCGAATAGCGGAAAACCGGTTAAAATGCAGAATATTCATACCGGAAGAACTTTGAAATCATGTAAACATAAAAAAGTTAAATATGACGCATTGAAGTCTTAAGGATATATGTATAAATATAGCAATTTAAAAAGCAGTAAGTTCGGCCGGGCCAATCTTTGAATATCCTCCACCATTTCGAACGAATTTGAAATTTTTCAAAAAATAAAATCCCTTAAAAATTCTGTTAAAATCTTAAAAATACCGAATATAGTCGTTATATTTGGGTCTATACGACGTGGACCTACATAGGCATTGTTTGTTATAAGCCATTACCATATTCAAATTCGAAACTTGAAATAAACGGTGAATAATGTAGCTAAAATCATCAAAATACCGAATATGGGGAGTTACCGTTATATCGGAGCTATACGAAGACGCGGACCTGCATAGACAATTTTCTGTCACAGGCTGTAACATCCATTACGAACTTCAAATACGACATTTCAAACAATTTCGGTGAGTATTGTACCTAAAATTGTCAAAATACCGAATATATGGAGGTACTATATACGAAGACCTGGACCTGCATTGACAATTTTGTGTCACAGCCTGTAGTTCCCATTATGAAATCTAAATACGTATTTTGAAACTGCACCGGTTAATAATGTCGCTAAAATCATCGTAAAACCGAATATTGCGAGGTACCGTTATAGGGGAGCTATACGAAGACGTGGACCAGCACAGACAATTTTCTGTTCTAGGTTTTAGTATCCATTTCGAACTTCAAATACCAAATTTGAAACAATTCCGGTGAATAATGTCGCTAAAATCATCAAAATAACGAATATCAGGAGGTACCCTTACATGGAGGCTATATGAAAACTTGGACCTACATGACCCATTTACGAACTTAACCTGCCTACTGGAAAAATAAACATATGAGCAAAATTTTAGCCTTCTATCTCAATTCGTTCGAAAGATAGAGTGATTGCAACAGACAGACAGACGGGCATTGCTAAATCGACTTCGAATTTTACGCTGATCAGGAATATATACTTTGTTGGGTCTGACATGACTATTTGGATGAGTTACAACAGGAATGGCAAAGTTAATATACCCTTCATAGTATGGTGGAGGGTATAAAAATATAACGTATTAAAGACTTAAGGATACATATGCGTCGGCGAACCGACTAAAACTCGCTTCCTTCTATAAATATAAAAAATATTAATGATTGTTTTTACAGAAACGTGCTTTTATTTCCACAACACCCTAATATCTCATTACAGCGAGTGCCTTGACAACAACATTCACACACACAACACATCCCATGTGTCTTCCTCGCCCAAACTCAGCGTTATCAGTAGATTTTGTTCGAGGGCGCATTTGCCATACATTTGAAATGTCACTGAATCTGTGGTATTGTTAAGTGTTGTTGTAGTTGTTGTTGCTACTTATTGTTGTTGTTGCACATGCTGCTACATACTCATGATGCGAACAGATTAATCGATTTCGTTTCAATCGATGCAGTTGTTGTTGTTGTTGCAATGCTGGCCGATGCTCAATACAATTCATGACGAATAGAATCACATTCAATTCATTCGATAAGAATGATCATGCCGAGTGAGAGGGAGCAAACGCCAACACCGCCCTTTGAAAAAACAAAATTCGATCACTCTTTGCCAGACAATCTCTGGCGCTGTTCACCAGTTTGTCAGAGTCTGTTGTCTTGATAAGATTTCACCAAAAAATAAACGTTTTGTCTCATCATCTCCTCAGTTAATATTTTTGTGTCCGTCGTAGTGAATCTCGTCGTCGTCGTTGTCGTCTAATTCGCCATCGTCGTTATTGTAACGTCCCAACAACAAAAAAAAAATTGTGGTGTGGTGTTTTTGGCTTCTTACGTGATTGCGTCCTTGATATTGCACTAAAACAACAACAAAAACCAAAAATTATAATTGCAACAAAAAAAAAAAAAATAAATAAATAACTCATAAAATCTTGGGGATATATTCTTTTATGTTGTCTCTGGAGTAACCATCCGTTGTGCTGTAATTAAACAATTTTCTTTTGGCAAAAGCAACACATTTTTTTGTTGAAGCTAAATTATTGCATACATTTAAGTGTGACGTCTAGAAAAAGAAAATATTAAAAAAATTAAAATTTAAAACAATTTTGGCGAAAAAAACAATAATAATTTTGGTTGATAACTGATTGTACTGTCATCGTCTGTGAGCTTTGTCTTTGTCTTACGTTCTCTATTTTGCGAAAAAAACTCAGCTTAATTTTCCTCTCTCTTTCGGCGATAAGCTTCAAAGTTATTACATTTGTGTTGGTATTTAATTTATGTGAGTATTAGTAAAAAAAAAAAAAAAACAAAAACAATGAAACATTTTCGTGTTTGTTATTATTTTTGTATTTATTTTCTGATTGGTGCATGCTGAACTTTTTCTTATCAGTTTTTTTTTTATTATTATTGAATGTTTTTCGTTTGTTTTCCCTTATTTCTTCTATTAAATGTATGTATTTGCTTATGTGTTTATTCTTTCTTTATTGCTTGATTTCTATATATTTCTTAACGTTCTATAGCTTCAAGACACAAACTCGTGATTTTTTAGCAGAAAAAAATGTTTATATGCAATTTTCATTTGTTCATGAAATAATTATATAAAGTGTATTACAGTGGAGCGTGGCTATGATTAATATGCTGATATTATGAAGATAAAGAAAAAATAAAATATGTATAAATTTTGAAAGACAGGAATATATTTGGTGCATGCTGAAATAAGAACCTTCGACTACATTTTGGGAAGAAAAAAATTGGATTGGAAAAAAAATGGATTGGAAAAAATATTTGATACCAAATATTAATATTAATAAAATATTAATAAAAAATATTAAATATTTGATGGCCTTACACCTGGTACTATTTAAAGTCGATTCTATTTAGTCGATTTTTTGAAATAAAGTCGGTGACATTTACCGGTGACCATCTGTCGTGCTTCACAAAAAAATTATAAAATAAAAAAATCAGTCGGATCGAACTTTGAATACCCTCCACAATTTGCAACGAATTTGGCAATTTAAAAAAACAAAAAAAAAAAACATCCATCAAAAATTAGATTCAAATCTTAACAAGTAAAAAAGCTGTAAGTTCGGCCGGGCCAAACTTTAAATACCCTCAATTCTCAAAAACAGTAAAATCCGTTAAAACTTCTGTTAAAAATACCGAATTTAGCTATTATATTAGGGTCTATACGACGACACGAATCTGCGTAGGTAATATTTGTCATAAGCCATTACAATATTCAAATAAAAAAATTGGTTATAATGTCGATAAAATCAAAAATATCGAATGTAGGGAGGTACCATTATATGGGGGCTATACGAATATGTTGACCTGTCAGACAATTTTCTGTAGTTTGAAACAATTCTGGTGAAAAATGTCCCTAAAATCATTAAAATACCGAATATAGGGAGGTACCGTTATATGGGGGCTATACGAAGACCTGGTCCTGCATAGACAATTTTCTGTCACAGACTGTAGTATCCATTACGAACTTCAAATATCAAATTTGAAACAATTCTGGTGAAAAATGTCTCTAAAATCATCAAAATACCGAATATCGGGAGGTACAGTTATATGGGGGCTATATGAAAACGTGGACCTACATGGTCCATTTACGAATTTCACCTGCCTACTGTAAAAATAAACCTTTGTGCAAAATTTTAGCCTTGTATCTCAATTCGTTCGAAAGATAGCGTGATTACAATAGACAGACGGACAGACAGACAGACGGACATCGCTAAATCGACTTAGAATTTTACGCTGATCAAGAATATATATACTTTGTTCTGGGTCTGACATGATTATTTCGATGAGTTACAAACGGAATGTCGATCTTAATATACCCTCCATACTATGTGTAGTGGAGGGTATAAAAATCAATCCCAATAAGTACCATATGAGGATAAGTCGTGAATATACCGAATAACAGAAGGTACTGTTGCATGGCGCATATACGAAGACATTTCTTACATTTTCCCATTGCGAATTCTAAATTTGAAACAATTCCTTTGAAAATGCGGCTAAAATAACGAAAGTAACGAATATCGGGTGGTACAGTGATATATTGGCTATACCAAAATGTGTACCTATACTTTCCATGTTTAATGTCAAAAATCTCGGGGACCCAAAATACATCTGAAGAACCCTGAATGTATCTTATGATGAGGCACTTACTACTTACTTAATTCTCATTAAATGTCATCGCTAGTCTAATGTGTCGATTTAATATGCTTTATGTCTCTTATATGCTGTTTCCTCACATATTCTTTAGCTATGCTAGATTCGTAAACAAGGTATGCTTCTACCTCCCTTTCTCATAGGCTATTTTAGTATTCGCAGCATTGTCACAAAATTTGGATAAACTGAAATGCATTTCCTCTTTTAATATCACGCTTGTTGAGCGAATTGTATGATTGCGTTTACGAAAGGTATTAAAATAGTTTAGACTATTAAAAATTTCTACTGTGGTAATATAAATCTTGAAACACTTAAATCAATTGAACGTTCAATTATTTTATTTTTTTCCTAATGTCCCAAATTTGTTCTAATACTGTCAACATACATCTCGTGGTTGGCATTTACTTTACCTTTAAATAGATTCATTACTCAGTGCGATTAATTAATAGGTCAAATTAAGGCGTGAATAGATGAATGAGCTAAAAGAAGACAACATTGTAACACGCCATTAAAAATAAGCATTTAGCTATAAAAAAATAATAAAATAGAAATATTAGTCATACAAATATAGTTATAATATCGGTAGATTTATTTAATTATTACACCACAAGGTGGTCAGGGTATTATGTCTTTGTGCATTTGTTTGTAACAGGCAAAAGGAAACGAGATAGACCCATATTTCCTTTTGATGATCTGCATAGAATCACATTCTGAGTTGATTTATGCATGTTCGTCCGTCCGTCCGTCTGTCTCTCTGTCTGTCCATGTATTTTTGTAAACAAAATACAGTTCGCATTTATTGTCATATCCACATGAAATTTTGTACAAATTATTTGTTTGGCCCAAGGACGAACTCTTTTGAAATTGGAAATAATCGGTCAAAATTTAGATATAGCTAAATTTTCGTCCGACTTGCCTTTTATTGTGCACCAAACGTGTAATATCAGCCCGAATAGTATGGAATTTTGCACATACAACCAAATTAGGCCTGAAAATAAGTATGCCAAATTTGATCGAAATCGGTTCAGATATAGCTATAGCACCCATATATATTGTTCATACGATTTGTTTTGTCCTCCGCAGCCGTAATATGCACTCTGCAACAACAATATTTGGGGAAATATATCAAATACTGCTCAGAAATACCTTTGCTAAATTTCATTGAGGTCGGTTCGGATTTGGATGTATCTCCCATACATAACTTCTTCCGATTTACTTTTTATTATGCACCAAACGTCTAATCTTTGTCCAAATGGGATGGAATTTGGCACTTACGACCGAATTGAGTCTATCAAATTGAGTATGTCAAATTCGGTGAAGATCGGCTCAGATATAGCTACAGCTCACATATATATTGTTCATCCGATTTCTTATATTTGTTACCCACAGCCGTAATATGCACTCCGTAACAACGATATTCAGGGAAATATAACAAATACAGCTCAGAAATATCTTTGCCAAATTTTATCGAGATCGGTTCAATTTGGATATAGCTCCCATATATATCTTTATCCGATTTCAAATTAATGGTGCAGCAAATGGGCAATACAAGTCCAAATTAAAAAAAATACAAATGCTTCGGCATATTTAGTCCTTTGAACTTTAAATGATAATTATAATCATAGCGTGTATGATTGAATTCTCCAATAAAAACTTTGCCGGATAATCGGTAACGATATATATGGAAGCTATATCCAAATCAGAACCGATCTCAATGAACTTTGGCAGAGGAATTTCTGAAGTATATACGACATCTGGTTTCAAATGTCATTGCTGTGGGGTTCATATTACGGGTATGGGGGACTTAAACACCAAATCGGATGAATCATTTATATGGGAGTTATTGCCAAATATATTGAATTCGGTCAGATATGACGAAATACATTACATTTACATGTATGAAAACGTGGACAATTATAAGCTTATTTCTGCAATCGGAGGTGAAATCCATTGCAAAATCCAAATACCAAACTTGAAACAATTGCATAAAAATGTGACAACAACCAGCTTCGATGTATAGATAGGCAGGCGACCAGGCCAAATCTTTGAAACTTTTTAAATTTTTGAAAATTCAAAATGTTTTTATCGAAGAAATTTTCTCTTCCCTTTCAAATATATTTGAACTGAATAAATTTTCAATTAAATTCGCTCAGTGGATTAAATGGGTTTCAGTTCTGGATGTAGACTAGATTTACTATATTTGCGGTTTTTATTTATCGTTCCATTTTAAAGTTACCTCCTGCGTTTATGCGGTGCCCGGATATAATCCCCCGTAATTGCAATGGCGATTTAGTCCGACTTTTATTACATCCACTTCCAAAACAGACATTATAATCCCAGTGGCTATGCTCGGATTGACCTTAAATTTTTATAGCAGGTAGAGATTTTAACCTGACGGCGAAGAAATTTTTTCGTGCAGGAAATACCCGTTTACACGGTTATTCGACTTGAAAGTTCGGATAATCCCCCGTAATTGCAATGGCGATTTAGTCCGACTTTTATTACATCCACTTCCAAAACAGACATTATAATCCCAGTGGCCATGCTCGGATTGACCTTAAATTTTTATAGCAGGTAGAGATTTTAACCTGACGGCGAAGAAATTTTTTCGTGCAGGAAATACCCGTTTACACGGTTATTCGACTTGAAAGTTCGGATACAATGTCCGGATTTTATGTGGTTCTACATAACTGGTGTAACAATATGAAATCTTTTGGAAATACCTATTCAACTAGGGGTCATTTGGCGGGGTTGTTCTCGAGCAATACAAGAAAATTGGTATTTTTACTGGAACTGTTTGAAATATCAAAATGGATACATTATAGGGTATTGAGATCTACGTATTTTTCCCTTTCCTTTTTAATATGTGTTGATATCTTCTGTAGTTCTGAATATATTGATTTAAAATCGAAGCCGACTACTAACAAGTGTTATAACCGGTTAAAACAACCCCACCATATGACCTTGCTTAATAAATATTTCCATAATCTTTCAAACGATGCCCATTTTGTATATTTTAAACCGAGAAATCGGAAATTTTCCGCACAAAAAAAAAAAAAAAAAAAAAAAAACATTTTCTGCCGTAATTAGGTTAAAAATGTCTAATGAAGTTTATGTTTACAATCGTTTTCTACATTATTCCCATTCAATTAGGGATACCAAAACCAGCAAAAAGAACAAAAAAAAAAACAGTAAGTTTGGCAGGGCCGAACTTTGAGAAATAAAATCCGTTAAAAATTCTGTTAAAATCTTAAAAATACCGAATGTGGTCATTGTATTGGGGTCTATACGTAGACGTGGATCGGCATTGGCAACTTTTGTCATAAGCCATTACAATATTCAAATACGAAGCTGGAAAAAATATATAAGGGCACCGTTATATTGGGGCTATACGAAAACCTGGTCCTGCAAAGACAATTTTCTGTCGCAGGCTGTAGTTCAAAATAAGAAATTTTGAAACCATTTCAGTGAATATTGTACTAAAAATCGTCAAAATACCAAATACAGGGTTGCTCATATTCGACGGGTTGCCCATATTCGAGCGCCGTCTTGTTGAAACCAGAACTGCCTCATACGCTTTCGACGAATAATTGGCATCACAAAATTGGTCATCAAAATTGGTCTACTAATTCTGACATTACAAGCCAAACAGGTAGACCTCTATACTTGCAATTTTTTCAAAGTTGGCCTACCTTCTCTTCATTGTACCATTGAAGGAACTACTTTTGTGGATTTTCAGACAATTTCATTGAAAAACTTGGCCACAATTATCAAATTACAGAATATCGGGGCATCGTTATATGGGGGCTAAACGATATCGTTGGCCGGTATAGTCCATGGTACAATGAAGAGAAGGTAGGTCAACTTTGAAAAAATTTCAAGTATAGAGGTCTACCTGTTTGGCTTGTAATGTCAGAATTGCTATCAAAACAATAAAAAAGCAAACAACTTGTTGCATTGATTTTGAATAAATAATTTAAAACCGCGAAAACTGAATGAATGGTCAAAATTTCTTTTCAATATCATGTTCTATATATCTCTTATGGTTTATTTCGCGACAAAAACTGTAGATTTTGTCGATGCATTCGTTGCAATAAGCATTTTGAAAACACCCGAATTTGAATATTTTCTGAACAATTTTTTATTATTGAAAAGAAGACACACACATAAGCAAATGAAGTTGACATATTAAGCCAGAAAAATAAAAAAAATTAAATCATATGGTAGTTCTGCCCTACCTTGAATTCATTGTACCATGGTATAGCCCATCTTCGAGCTCGACCTGCCTGCAGAAAATATACTGATTCGTGCAAAATGTTAGCTTCCTCTCTTTATTCGTTTTGACTCTAGAGTGATTACAACAGACGGACAGCCGGGTGCTAAAACATCTTAGAATTTTACGCTGATCAATAATATATACACTTTGTTGGGTCTAAACTTATTATTTCGATGAGCTACAAACGGAATGACGAACTTAATATACCATCCATACTATGTATGGTGGAGGGTATAAAAATTGATAATCTTCATATAATAAACCCAATTGTTAGATTTTCCATTACAAATATTCAAATTTTTTGTATTAAAAAAGAAGAAACTATTCAATTGTCAGCGTTGAAATTGTTCAACTTTGAAATATCGAACGCTCAACGTATTTGGGTTACACTCATATAAATACATGTGCATGGCCTACACAAGGTCGGCTAAGATGACTACGTTTGACAACAATTTGACAATAAACTTAATAGTTTTCGCACTATTGTGATTTGACTCTCTTTGAATTTCAAATTACAACATGTATTTTAACGGCAAACTTGGTTGTCAGATGGGCTTATTGACCTGTGGTGTGAGGTGAAAAACGTCGACCGAGTGCGTCGAATTTTAGGTAACATATTTTTATCTCACAAATGTTTCAATTTCATATTTTCTGCAAAAAGAATTTAATTTCTGAATGGCCATAGCCTATGGAACGTATGATGATATATAATAGAGGAGGATTACAATATTTCAGGCACACAACAATTACCATCAGCAATTTTAGAGGGTGCACCCTAATATGCATATGGACATGCATGACATATTTAAATGTCAAAGGAAAAATTCAAAGGAAAATTTTCATTTCAAAAATTCATTTTGTTAAATTTTTTAGTTGTAAGCGTACATATTCGTAGTTTTTGCAAAATTTTACGTGTTGTAACCAATTAAAAATAATAAAAAATACCAAAAACAATAAATATTTATTGGATTAATATTTCGCGATCAGATGAAAATTGGATTTGTGGAGTTCGTTGTGTAAATTGGCTAAATTGAAATCTTTTTCTTGGGAATTTTTGGCAAAATTGAAATCATATTCTTTGGAATTGGATTGGACGAAGGGTCGTGTGTGGCCAAGAGGTAAGTACATTTAATAATCTGTAATTTCTTTATTTATATATCTGCTGCGAGTTTTTGGTAATATAAGTTACGTGTCCTCATCATTAGAATATTATTCTTGTCTCTTGCCATTTTTCATTTGGATCATTGTTACTTCAAGGGTTTTGGGAAAAGAAAAGAAATATCCATAGAATTTAAATAAAAAGTCGTAGCGCTAATACCAATGTCACTTTGGTGTAAATATAATCATAAAACAGGATGCATATCTGTCCACAGGGTATTCTAAAGAGAGTTGCTATCTACAGATGCAAGCTGGTGATACAAAGCCCTCTGAAACACGCATACAATGAAAGGTTCTTCTTGGTGAGGCAACAATTCTTTTTATACCCTCCATCATAGTATGGAGGGTATATTAAGTTTATCATTCCGTTTGTAACACCTCGAAATATACCTTTTAGATCCCACAAGGTGTATAAATTATTGATCAGCATAAAATTATATGCCGATTTAACCACGTCCGGCCGTCTGTCTGTCTGTCTGTCTGTGGAAATCACTCTAGCTTCCGAAAGAAATGAAGTAAGTTGATAAAAACTTACTCAAATGTATGTTGTGTCCTTTTGGTATTGAAAATGGGTCATGTAGGTCCACGTTTTGGTATAACCCCCATATAACGGTACCTCCCGATATTCGGTATTTTTATGATGTTAGCGACATTACTTACCGGAATTATTTCGAATTTGGTGTTTGAAGTTCGTAATGGATACCACAGCCTAAGGCGGGAAATTGTCCATGCAGGTCCACTTCTTCGAACAGCCCCCATATACCGGTACCTCACGATATTCTGTACTGTGATGATTTTAGCGACATTATTTACCGGAATTGTTCCAAATTTGGTATTTAAAGTTTGTAACAGATACTACAGCATAAAACAGAAAATGGCCCATGTAGATCCACGTCTTCGTATAGCCCCCATGCAACGGTGCCCCCCGATATTCGGTATTTTGATGATTTTAGCGACATTTTTCACCGGAATTGTTTCCAATTTGGTATTTGAGGTTCGTACAGGACACTACAGCTTAAGACCAAAATTGTCTGTGCAGGTCCAAGTCTTCGTATAGCCCCCGTATAACGATACCTCCAGATATTCAGTGTTGTGATGATTTTAGCGAATTTATTCACCGGAATTGTTTCAAATTTGGTATTTGAAGTTTATAATGGATACTACAGCCTAAGACGGAAAATTGTCTGTGAAGGTCCACGTCGTCGTAGGGCCCCCATATAACAGCACCACCCGATATTCGGTATTTTGATGATTTTAGCGAATTTATTCACCGGAATTGTTTTTAATTTGGTATTTGAAGTTCGTAATGAATATTACGGCCTAAGACAGAAAAATCTCTGTGCAGGTCCACGTCTTCGTAGAGCCCTCATATAACGGTACCACCCGATATTCGGTATTTTACTGATTTTATAGACATTTTTTCACCAGAATTGTTTCAAATTTGGTATTTGAAATTCTTGGCGGACACTACAGCCTATGAAAGAAACTTGTCTGTGCAGGTCAACATCTTCGTATAGCCCACATATAACGGTACCTCCAGATATTCGGTATTGTGATGATTTTAGCGGCATTTTTTACTGGAACTATTTTAAATTTAGTACTTGAAGTTCGTAATGAATACTACAGCCTTCGACAGAAAATCGTCTGTACAGGTCCACGTCTTCGTATAGCCCCCATATAACGGTACCCCTCGATTTTCGGTATTTTGATGATTTTAGCGAATTTATTCACCGGAATTGTTTCAAATTTGGTATTTGAAGTTCGTAATGAATACTGGCGCCTAAGACAGAAAATTGTCAGTGCAGGTCCATGTCTTCGTGTAGCCCCCATATAACGGTACCACTCGATATTCGGTATTTTAATGATTTTAGCGGCATTTTTTACTGGAACTATTTTAAATTTAGTATTTGAAGTTCGTAATGAATATTACAGCCTATGACAGAAAATTGTCTGTGCAGGTCCAAGTCTTCTTATAGACCCCCAATAACGGTACCTCCCGATATTCGGTATTTTAATGATTTTATAGACATTATAACCGATTTTTTAAGTTTCGCATTTGAATATTGTAATGGCTTATGACAAATGTTACCTATGCAGGTTCATGTCGTCGTAATAGCTACCTTCGGTATTTTTAAGATTTTTAATGGATTTTATAGTTTTTGAGAATTGCCAAATTCGTTCCAAATGGTGGAGGGTATTCTAAGTTCGGCCAGTCGAACTTACAGCTTTTTTACTTGTTTTTATTACTGGAATTTCAGTTCCGCTGAAAAACTTTTCCCATTTACGACGGAAATGTAAATACAAGACACACACACATACACACTAACGTACGGACCAACAAAACAAACGAACTAATATCCAGAAAGTGAATATTCATTGTTACTTACTTACTGGATTGTTGTGAGAGCAACAAATAGACCAGCAACGAAACACGAAGCTCAAGAGTAGCGTAGAGAGAGAGGGCTTTTAGGCTGCAACCAAGCATTTACCACAGAACATTGGGTTTACACAAACTTTATGGCATTGTAAATGTTTGGCTTTGGCCTGCAGTTTGATGATGTTGCCCGGGTGCTGGTGTTTGCTTAGCTCAGTCGCGTCATTGCTGGCACAGCAAGTTTTAGTTGTTGTCGTCTGTTGGTGTCCTCTTGCTCTTTGTTGCATGCCTTGGAGTAGTAGGTGTAATTGTCTTGGAATCATTGGGAATGGGAGCACAGCTCACAAAAGCCCAGACAATAAATAGGACATCAAGTTGGCAATGAACGGCAAAGTTATTTGTTGTCAAGTTTAATGTTTAGCTGCAACTAAGTGCAGAAGGATTAAAATGTTTCATTAAGCTATTAACAAACAATATGAGGCCTGGTCGTATACATTTATTGCCAGTTGTTGTAGGCAATGCAATTGCAATAAGCGAGAGTAGATGGAAATGGATAGAGGGTGCTTAGTGGGAGGAATAAACGTTAAGCGGCATTTAAGATTTAGGATGTGACTTATCAAATAATTCCTAAAGGTCTTAATATAATGGAGGACCAAGAGGTGTTGTAATACAAGATTTTCAGAAGGTTTTCCAAAAGAAGAGAGAGAGAGAGAAAAGAAGAGATTCTGATTCTCTATGAGAAGACATCTTCTTCTATAAGAAGACATCTTCTTCTATAAGAAGACATCTTCTTCTATAAGAAGACTTCTTCTTATGAAAGAAGATCCCATCTTCTATAAGAAGACTCCCTTTCCTACGAGGTCTTCTATGAGAAGGCATTACGGTCTTCTATGAAAAGACCTTTCAGCCTTCTATGAGAAGACCTTACGGCCTTCTACGAGAAGACTTGCTCGTGTTCTATGAGAAGACTTACTCTATAAGAAACAAGCTCATCTTCTATGAGAAGACCTTTCAGTCTTCTATGAGAAGACCTTTCAGTCTTCTATGAGAAGACCTTCCAGTCTTCTATGAGAAGACCTTCCAGTCTTCTATGAGAAGAACTTCCAGTCTTCTATGAGAAGACCTTCCAGTCTTCTATGAGAAGACCTTCCAGTCTTCTATGAGAAGACCTTCCAGTCTTCTATGAGAAGACCTTCCAGTCTTCTATGAGAAGACCTTCCAGTCTTCTATGAGAAGACCTTCCAGTCTTCTATGAGAAGACCTTCCAGTCTTCTATGAGAAGACCTTCCAGTCTTCTATGAGAAGACCTTCCAGTCTTCTATGAGAAGACCTTCTGGTCTTCTATACGAAGACCTTCTAGTCTTCTATGAGAAGAACTTCTGATCTTCTATACGTAGACCTTCTAGTCTTCTATGAGAAGAACTTCTGGCCTTCTATGAGAAGACCTTCTGGCCTTCTATGAGAAGACCTTCTGGCCTTCTATGAGAAGACCTTCCAGTCTTCTATGAGAAGACCTTCCAGTCTTCTATGAGAAGACCTTCTGGTCTTCTATACGAAGACCTTCTGGTTTTCTTTACCAAGACCTTTTGGTCTTCTTTTCGAAGACCTTCTGGTCTTCTATGAGAAGACCTTCTGGTCTTCTATGAGAAGACCTTCTGGCATTCTATACGAAGACCTTCCTGTCTTCTATGAGAAGACCTTCCTGTTTTCTATGAGAAGACCCTCTGCTCTTTTATAAGAAGACCTTCTGCTCTTCTATGAGAAGACCTCCAGCTCTTCTATGAGAAGATCTTCAAGTCTTCTATACGAAGACCTTCTTCTGGTCTTCTATACCAAGACCTTCTGGTCTTCTATACCAAGACCTTCTGGTCATCTCTACGAAGACCTTCTGGTCTTCTATACGAATACCTTCTGGACTTCTATAGGAATACTTTCAGGTCTTCAATACGAATACCTTCTGGTCTTCTATACGAAGACTTTCTGGTCATTTATGAGAAGACCTTATAGTCTTCCATGAGAAGACTTCCTAGTCATCTATGAGAAGTCCTCCTGGATTTCTATACGAAGACCTTCTGGTCTTCTATACGAAGACCTTCTGGTCTTCTATACGAAGACCTCCTGGTCTTCTTTTATAAGAAGGCCTTCTCGTTTTCTTCTATATGAAGACGTGCTGGTCTTTTTCTATACGAAGACCTTCTGGTCTTCTTCTATACGTTCCTGTCTTCTCTATGCGAAGACCTTTGGTCTTCTTCTATACGAAGACCTTCTGGTCTTCTATGCGAAGACCTTCTTCTGGTCTTCTATGAGAAGACCTGCTCGTATTTTATAAGAAGACTTGTTCGTCTTCTATGAGAAATCTTTTTGGTCTTCTATCTTCTCTACGAAAACCTTTTAGTCTTCTTTGAGAATACCATTTTGTATTCCCAAATTAATATTCAAAATATTTTTTCAATAAATTAAATCCAGGTAAAGCCCATTTCTGCCAATTTGCCATGGTCAAGAGGGCCAAACAATTGTGCTACGCTTTTCAATTCATCCATGACATTTATATGTGTTTTGCTAATACCGCAATAAAATGACCCTGTA